GGCTGAGGTAACATGATTAGAAAAGGAAAGAAAAGCTCCACAATGTGATTACCCATTGTTTCAATATTGTGTATAATCTCAGGACTTTGATGAAGATAATAACTGAGAGGATTAGGAACAGGTTGAGTCTGAAATAAACATAAAGAAATGAAATTAAGAGTGAAACACCAGCATTAGTCGTACATACATGTACATGCATAAGGCATTTTCAGAAATTGGGCCCTTTTATACACATTTACATGTACACACATCAAAACAATATAGTTGGAATTGAGGTTGCCCCATTCCTCAGTGGTAGGTACATGTAGTTTTACTTCTCTACAATCAAGCATGTACATTGTACATGTAACTGAAAAACTTAGCAAGAATCAGCTCCAACTTTCTACACAGCATAAGGACATCAATATGCATCAGAAAAAGTAATAAAAATTTGGGGTGATTTTGGAGCCATTTTTTTCAACAAAGCATGGGCTATAGTACAGGGTAATTTTTAAAAATTGGTTGATTTTTCAAAATGGTCATAACTCAAAAATTTTTAGTCGGAATTAGCTCAAACTTTCTACACAGCATAAGGACATCAATATGTATAATAAAAATTTGGGGTGATTTAAGAGCCATTTTTTCAAAAAAACATGGGCTATATAGTACAGGGTAATTTTTTAAATGGGCCGATTTAAGAAAATGGCCATAGCTAAAAAAATTTTAGTTGGAATCACATCAAACTTCCTACACAGCATAAGGACATCAATATGTACCAGAAAATTTAATAAAAATTGGGGTTGATTTCGGAGACATTTCTCAGAAAAAAACCATGCTATACATAGTACAGGAGATTTTTAACCCTTTTATAAAATGGCCATAACTTAAAAATTTCTTGTCGGAATCGCCTCAAACTTTCTACACAGTATAAGAACATCAATATGTATCAAATCATGTAATAAAAATTCAGGGTAATTTCGGAGCCATTTTTGAGAAAAAACCATGGGCTTATAGTACAGGGTAATTTTTGAAAATTGGCCAATTTAAGAAAATGGCCATAACTCAAAAAATTTTAGTCAGAATCATCTGAAACTTTCAACACAGCATAAGGACATCAATATGTATAAAAAAATATAATAAAAATTTGGGGTAATTTCGGAGCCATTTATAGTACAGGGTAATTTTCAAAAAGTGGCTAATTTTTAATATAGGAAATAACTCAAAAATTTTCAGTTGGAATCACTTCAAACATCTACACAGCATAAAGACATCAATATGCATCAAAAAATGTAATAAAAATTTGTGGTAATTTCGGAGCCATTTTTTTAGAAAAAACCATGGGCTATATTACAGGGTAATTTTTTAAAATTGGCTGAATTTTAAAAATGACCATAACTCAAAAATTTTTAGTCGGAATCACTTCAAACTTTCTACACAGCATCAGGACATCTATATGTATCAAATCATGTAATAAAAATTTGGGGTAATTTTGGAGCCTTTTTAAAAAACCATGGGCTATATAGCACAGGGAAATTTTCAAAAATTGGTAGATTTCTTAAAATGGCCATAACTTAGCCAGAATCAGCTCAAACTTTCTACACAGCATATAAGGACATCAATATGCATGAGAAATTGTAATTTCGGAGCGATTTTGTAAAAAACCATGGGCTATATAGTACAGAGTAATTCTCAAAAACTGGCCAATTTTAAAAATAGCTATAACTCAAAAATTTTCAGTCAAAATCACCTCAAATTTTTTACACAGCATAAGGACATCAATATGTATCAGAGAATGTAATTAAAATTTGTGGTGATTTTAGAGCCTTTTTAAAGGAAAAACATAGATGCCCATGCAGCACTAGCAATGCAATCTAAATGGCAAATTATGCTGATTATAATTCAATCTCAGATCACAAAAATGTCAAACTGAAACTCCACCACATTAAAGCATCATACACTATACAATATACAATGTACAAACCTCATAATGATAGTTCATACAAGTCAAGTCCCTCCAACAGCTATCACCTCTCATCTTTATCAAACCCTAAAGAAGGTTCCAATATTCAATCACATCCTTTCTCTCACTTACAGCTCCAATCATAATGCGGAATATCATCCAGCGATTTCCCCAGACATTGGTCCAGCTTGTGGGTGTGTGACATGGAAACTGGCTATAACTCAAAACTGGAGATAAGAACATTGCAAGGAAACCCATTTCAAGTAACTGAGACTCCCAACCTACATGTACATGTACATGAATATCTAATAATGTACACACATTATACAATACACAATGAATATACTGTACCTACACATGTACAAGTATGTAAAATTTATTGTTTAATAAGTAAACATTAATTCAATTAATACTGTTTACATTTTCTCTTTATGCATGATAATCAGTAAATATCACTTACAACAATAAATGATTATCTCCATACAAAGATACATCCACCTCAGAATAGCAGGAGGAGGAGAGGAATGATCTGATGAACCTCTTCCCTCAGAAGAGGAAGATTTAAATGAATCACAGCATTTCAATTGTCCTCCATCTTTTAAGGTGGAGTTATGGGCGTAGTCAAACCAGCCCCTCCCTGTTGTTTGGAATTTGCTTTGCTCTGCTTTTACGTCTTGTCTTACCTTTACCTCTCCTTTCACCTTGTATACAATATTTAAACTAGTTTCAAATGGCCTCAAAACCATCACATTTCCCATTAGGTAAGTCAGATTATTTATAATACATTGATATATATACACATTTTGTGTCCAGATATTAGCAAGTTAAACTTTGTTTTACAAGTCTTGAGGCATTACAAGTTTCCTGAAGCAAGATGGTTTGAATTTGGATTGAATCTTGGTCTGCTTCATCCTACACTGGAAGCTATTGAGTCAGCTCACAGAGGGAATCCTTCACGCTGCCTGATGGAGTGTTTAACCAAGTGGTTGACTAAAGCTGATGATAATGTCACTACTGTTGGTCCTATTATCTGGAAGACTCTGGCTAATGCACTCCGTGGAATGAATGCAACATCCATTTCTACTGATATTCGCAAAACAAGTAATAATTTTGTTATTGTTATACTTTTTTATATTTTTATTAGTGGCAGATCCTGTTAGTGAGATATTACAGTGTTATATTGGTAGACTAGCTCAAGTTGTTCTTACTGAGGAATCAGTTGATCTCTTACATACAGAGGGATTGATATCTAAGGATACATTAACAAAAGTGAAGAGTTGCGGTTGTTCATTGGTAGGAGATCCAATGTTACTAATATTAAGTGCTGTAGCTGAAGATCATAGCAAGTTATGTACTCTGACAAGTATTCTAATGAAATCAAAGGAAGCAGTGTCTTTAGCTAGTGATATAATAATAGAATATGGTAAATGAACAATTTTATAAATACACTTAACATATTTATATTCTAATACAATAGGAAAGTCATTTCCTTCAGCAGTAACAGTGATGCCATCTTGTCAAGAAGGAAGTACTTCAACATCTTCAAGTAATGATATAATATAACATATATACATTGACTATTATAATAAATACAGGATCTGGACAATTACAAGATAGTAGTAGTGAGACTCAAGTAACTACCAATACTGATGCTACTGCACAAGGCTAGTAACATTAATTATACCCAATTAAATGTCATTATACACTATATGTAATAGAGACTGTCATATTTTATCCTGACGATAAAGCTGAGTTTGATAGAATGGGTGATTTGCGTGGAACACTTATTGATGATATTGCTCCTCTCATTGAAAAATCAATTCCATCTCTGAATCACCTTAAAACCTACCTTGGAAGATGTCGTCCAGAATTAAAGCCTCGATTGAAAGATGCCAATAGCTTTGATGATGTAATGGAAGTGATTGAGGATGAGTGTTCTATCACTAACGTTGCTCTATTGGAGACTATAATGAACAAATACTCAATACAAGATGCTGGAGACATGATATTAGCTTATCAGACACACTTGGATGAATTCTGTGAAAACAAATTAACAATGTTTTGTGATCGTCAGCTTAAGAGATTATCCTCTTCTCTCCTCACTTGTGAGACGATCAAGTTTGTTCTGAAATGGAATCCAAGTGAGCATTCTCTCTCCAGTATCAGAGCCCTCCTATGGAAAACGTTCAAGGATAATCAAGTGGAGGTGGTAGTGATCAAGGAAGGGAACTCCATCATTGTTACTTGTTATGCTCCTCATTATCTGATGGAGAGTTTACTAGTGACAGCTAGAGATAACGTTGATATGCTAAAGGAGATGGGATTGATTAGTTTAACTATTGGTTACTATACTGTGTATGATGAACATGCAATTGATGAGGTTAGTGAATGTATGTGTATATAAAATTATAATAGTATACTTTAATATTTGATAGGAGGTGAAGAGTCTAATGAAGAAACTGGAGATGGTAGAGAGTGAAAGAGATGATTTACTTGAGGAGAATGCTAAATTGAAGGATACAATAGACTCATTAGGTATATAGTAATTATCATTAATTATAATTATTGATAATTCAAAGGTATTTCATATCAAAGTCAGAAAGTTGATGAAAGCAATAAGTCATCAATACAAACATCGGGTATAATGACGCATGAATATTGTCACATGTGCAATTTTTGAATAAATACATCTTCCAGCTAAATTGTTGTTCCTAATAATTTAATTGCTTCATTTTTAGTGTTAGAGTCTGAAAAGGGAAACAGTAAGAAGATGACCAAAGCAATGCAAATGGAAATAGATCATTTACGATCAACTCTTCAAAGCAAAACAGGTATGCACACATATTAATGGCAATACAGTACAGCTGTATTTAGAGTATCATTATTGGGATTGCTTGTGCATTAATTTGTTATAGTAGGAGGATGATTGTATAGTCAATACTAATACCGGTCCTTCTTACATGCAATTAAATAATACACAAAGCAATCATAAATATTTATAATGTTTTTAAATTAGTAACCAATTTTTGATTTGTATTAATGACTATTATTAATGACTAGGAATAGAAGAAACGTTAATTGGAGTAGAGAAAACATTAATTGAAAGAGAAAAGGAAATAGAACAGTTACAGGAAAAGATATCATTAATGAATATACAACAACTGAAAGAAACTTCAATTACTCTTAGTATGTATTACATTATATTAACATAATGACTAGTACTGGTATTTTAGGAAAGGATCAGTCTACACAATCAATAGATCAACCAAAAGGACCAGTTTATGTAGCTGTTAGAGACTGGGAGGCAAGGAATAGTGATGAGCTTTCAATCAAGAAAGGAGAAAAACTTGAGATTCAAGAAGAGCGTACTAGTGGATGGTGGCTAGCAAAATCGTTAGATACTGATCAAGAGGGATTTATTCATATCAATCTTATTGAAAAAGTTAAGGATAGTCAACTGTCAACATTGGAATCACTTGAACTATTTCATTATGCAATGACAGAAAATGTTGGCATACCTAAAATCAAGGAAATTAAGATGAGCAGCAATGTTGAGAGAGCAAGTCTCTTTTTATCATTAATTAAACAAGATTCAGTTCTGCTAGATCAACTTAGAAAAAGAGAACATGGTAAGATATATTTATATGTACTAATAATCTATAGAGGGTACTGTTTGTGGCAAATATTAATTTTGTACATTATAAAAATATACAAGAATAACCAGCTGCTTAAATCCCTTAGTCTTTAAGAATAATCATGATAGCAGATAATTATACTTGATAAGGCCACTCCAATAGATCCAATTTCTTTTGCTTATTCATTAATATACACAACAATTTAATCAGATATTTTAATATTAATGGAACCACCCACCTGCATCAGCTCCGCAGCCCCCACCATACTATTATTATTATTGTTATTATTATTAACACTAATTGTTTTATGTATTCAGAAAAACCTAAAGCAATTAGGTGGTATGATGATGGTGTTGAACTGACCTCTCCATCTTTAATACAATGTCAAGAAGTAGTTTCTCTACTAACATATGAACATAAGACCGTTAACATCATCAAATCATCTCCTGACGTTGTGTGTGATTTGTTTCCAGTTTTATTACAAAATAATAAGGTGACATACTTGAGAATACAAGAAACTCAACTAACACAGGACTGCATCTCATCCTTATGTAACTTACTGGCTAATAATAAATCATTGTTAAATTTACATTTTGTTATCTGTTCTGTTGATGACAAAGCAGTTTCTGATATTTCGAACGCACTACAAACACACAATAACACACTTTTAACATTAACCCTTTTTAATAATCCTCATATTACTTCAGTTAGTGCTCAATCCCTTTATGAGCTCATTATCAACAATTCAACATTAATTGGATTAGAAGTAAGAGGCACTTCAATATCATCTGATGGAATAGTACTAATTCTTCAATCGTTAACAATTAATAAAAATATAACACTCCATCTAGATATAAAAGACAGAGATACATGCACAGAATACTATGACTATAATGTTATAAAAGATAGAGTAATATTTTATGGTTAATTTTAATTAATAATTGTATTTTGCTTTCTATTGACGATGATGCCTCATCAATCATTTAATTATTATTAATTTAAACAAAAAAATTTAATATTATTAACAAAGTGATTTATAATAAACAAATATATAAAAACAAGTCAATACAAATAATAATTGTGTTCACTCATTTTAATAATAAATTCTTATTGCAATCAAAGATGATTAAATCAGTATATGTGTCTGTTGAATTTTAAATAACAAATTAGTTATTACGGCCATTGTTTAAAAACAGCCAATTTAAAACTAAAATACCCAAAGATATATAGCCCATGGTTTTTTCTGAAAATGGATAAGAACCAAGACTAAATTTTATTACAATTTTTTATACATTATTGATGTACTTATGCTGTGTAGAAAGTTTGAGCTGATTCTGATTAAATTTTTTGAGTTAAGGGCTAGTTTTGAGGCTATTGCCCATGGCTTTTCCAAGAAATGGCTCCAAAATCAGATTTTATGATATGCATTGATGTCCTTATGCTCTGTAAAAAGTTTAAGGTGCTTTCGACTTACATTTTTCAAGCTACGACCTTTTTAAATGGCCAAATTTGGAAACTACCCATGTAGTAGTCAAGACAATAATGATAAGGAGATATGATGCAAGGTCTTCTTGATACATTTGAACTCAATTTCCTCCCGTGGGCCCCTCACCATTCTTTCAAAATTTAAAATCATAGGTCCTCTCAATGATGACTTCAGTTTGTTCCTTAACACTAGGATATT